TTGGCTTCCATAGGGAACTAAATCACCTCATGACTCTGGCTTGCTTGGAGGACTATTGTGATTACTCTCATTTGCTCATCAGGTTGCCCATTCACTTTTCAGGGCTAGCTAGGCACCTTGAAAGTTGAAAGGAAATTCTTTTTCCTTTATTACCATTCTTGTGGGAGTCTTCAAGTCCTTAAGAGGGGATCCTGCTCCATTGCAACATGAGGACTAATTATGGTGACCTTTCTTTCTGTTTTTGCATCCTCTTTAACAGATTGCCTGTGGTGAAATTCACATTCTGGTTTAATTATGTAATAAAACAATTTTCTTTTTGTTCTACCATTGTGGAGAGTTCTTTTGGGGCTGGAGATAATTTTGTTTTTAATTGTAATTCCAAACTCTGTCCGGAGTTACCAGACATGATATAAACATAGAAGGTGACTACCTAGAATCACTTTAGAGGGTCCTTTCCCTTTCTGGTTTCCAGTTATAAGCCAAAATTGTTGAGAAAAGTGCAAGTTGCCTCCAAATCTGCAGGCAGAATGGTGTCTTTGTCTATTTGGGACCTACAGTCCCTTCTAAAGCAGCTTGACCATATGTTTACAAAAATAACCTCACAAGGGGGCAATCAGTTGTTCCAGCTCTGTCTTTCAATGTTCCTGGCATTATCAGACCTGAAACTGCTTAGGAGACCATGGGATCCAAAAAACCAGCCAGGCTCACACATGTGCTTTGAGTAGTTCTAAGAATCTCAACTTCTCGCTCCTTCTGTTGCTCAAATGCCCACAACTGTGCAAGGGTTTCCTGCACTTCCTAGCCCTTCCAACACCTAAATCTGCAGCTTCAGATTCTGAATCCAAGTCCTGGGCCTCTTCAGAATGTGTTAGAATAGCCTCCTTGTGGGAATCTTTGCTCCAATTTCCCTCCCCTCACTGTAACACTCAGGGATACAAAGCCAGTTTAATCCCACCTAGAACCTGCACTTCAGACCTGGCTTCCACTTGGGATTCACTGGAGAGAGCCAGGCTGAGGATGTACAGAAAACCCTGGGGAGACATTTTCTGCATCATGAGAGATCAACATAAACTTTGTAAATCCCCCCTTTTCAAGTATGGCCCTCCAAGTTTTCCAGATCTTGTCCAGTGACCTGCTGCAGATGTTAGAGGCTCCTGGTATAAACATACTCTGGTGGCAGAATCAATAAGTGTAAACAAGCACCTCAGCAGTGAGAGAGTTTAGGGCCACAAAATATTCAGAGCCATGACCACAAACTGTGCCTGCTTGTACACTGTGTTACTGGACTAGAGTATACTTGTCCTTCCTCATATTCAAGAGTTAGCTGATCAGAGTCAGGAAATATGGATTCAAGGGTGGCTGCTATACCAGGGCAGTTCCATTTTCTATCCTGGCCCCAAAGAATCACCATGAGTCTCTTCTGACTGAATCACCATGGGGACATCAGCCCAGGCTCACTGGGGACACTCTTACCAGCACCTGGGAGTATTTAAGACATCTGGGGATGCCCTCTGCAGACGAGGTTCAGGCTGACAACAGGATCTAATTCTGCTTCTATCTCAGAAGAAGAGGAATGAGTCATCCAAAGTTTGTTTGTCCCCTGACAGAAGAAATTTCATTTTTTGGAACCCAGATGGGAGTTGTTCCAGTTTCCTGATACTTGTGTAAATGACGATGAGGAGGTCTGGAGACACAAGCTAACACATAAACCACTTTCTTCCATTTCATATTGCCATTAGACAAACAGATGAAGCAATCATAATCCCTACTATCCAGGAACTTTCACCCTGGAGCAAATGGAAAAATGGTTAAATTCAGCATCATATGGTCGGCACAAAGAAGGGAGGTGTACAGGGGAGTTTGGCTTCATTTGGGCCACTTCCCTTATGTTGTCGTGAGTTCTGATGTGACCGCCTGAAGGGTTACTTATGGACAGAAGAATTGTTGTTTTTATTGTTATTTCTATTGCTTTTACCTTGTTAAGAATAAATATTTAGCTTCTAATATAATTGTCCTAGAAAACTCTAAGGAATTTGATTAAATTGCTTGTTATTATATGTTATAGAATATACCAGAAAGTGGTGTAAATAGATTAAAATTATACAAACTCTAGGAGTCAAGTTTCTCTTGAGCAAGTTTAGGGAAGACAGAACTGAATATACCCCAGGGGCATAGAGAGATGAGAAGACTGGGGCCCTTTCCCTGCCCCAGCCCTGCCCAGATTTATCCTCTTCTGAGGCTGATCCAGGTTTCACCCCACCCTGGAATCTCCCTGCACAGAACTTATTAGAGGAGATCAGCACATTGGATGGCTTCTCCTGCTGTCTCTCCAGAGCTGGTGCTCACAGTTTCTCCAAACCTAAAAGCAGGTAAATGAGAGAAAGAGACTATTATTTTGGGGCCTTCACATCTTTCTTTTTTATTCAAGCCTGTGTTTCTGGAGACATTCCACCCAGCAATCTGTTTTCCATTTCTTTAGATTTAGTAGTTGCTCTACAAGTTACAAGAAAGTAAATATAAACACAACAATGAAAAATTTCTCTGAACTTTACTCCACCCTTGCTTCCTGTATCCCTCTCATCTGTCTATATTTAGCTTATATTCTGTACATTTTCTTTTAAAAACCAGTAATTGATAAACAAAAGAAGAAATAGGGTGGGCCCTTCATCTAAATCCTGGGAATTATGGGACATTTAGTATTCACCTCCTAGGGTGTTATGAGGGTGAATTCATAAACTGAGTTTCCTAGCACCCTGCATTGTAACATATTTGAACACATATGCTCAGTAAACATAGCATCAATGCATGTGCACATGTTATTTTCCAAATGTGGACTAACTCAGACAATGCTGCCTTCTCCAGCCTCTGTAAACTTTAAAGGGAATGCCATGTTTCAGGATGGTGATTGGTGGTCTTCATTTTGGACCAAAAGTGTTTTTGCTATGATAGGAGTGTTGGGCGTAGGGCCTTCTTTGTGCTGCGCCGGCTTTCTCTGAGTGCTACTGATTACAGGTGGAGGGGGGGCAACGTCAGCACTAACACAGGACTTTTTAAAGGAGCCAATTCATGGACCCCTTCCACACCTGCAGAATCACATTACTTAGAGTGGGGCCAAGATTAGCAAATGTTTTATGTGCACATTCTAAGAGATTCTCAGTCCAGGTTTTCCATTGGAATTACATGGCCAGTTTGAAACACCATCATCTGTGCTCTCTGTGCAGAATCTGTCTGTTGGTCTGGGCGGGAGCATCCATGTGGTTTTAAGTGCCTCATGTGATTCTAAGGTGAGCCTAGGGTCAAGAACAAGGGCTCTGAGCTATATTTATGAGACTTGAGTTCAGACTTTGTTCCTGGAAGATCACAGGACCTTCTTTGCTTGGATTTTGTAGGGACAGCTTGGTGTGGTCCAAATTCTTATTGCTGTAGCAGAAATTGCTGATGACTATGGCAGGGAAGAGCACCTGAGGGCAGGAAGGAAGAAACTCACACTTTGCTCTCTATGTAGAAGTTCCTGACTCTCTTGTGATAAAGGACAGGGAAGGTGGACTTTTTTTGTACTCCAAGGTCCTGCCTGTGTGTGTGGTGGTCGCAGTAGAAGGGGTTGTGCTGGTACCTTTAAAAGCATATTATCAAGATGGTAGTATGGTTTGTTTAGGTCATTTTACCTAAGGAGGAATTTCAGAGAAGGAGGAAGAGGAAGAAATGGCTGCTTCTCAAGTAATTATGTCCCAGGTCAGGGGCTGTGTTCACTTTTCCTATTGGAATGTTGTGAGTTTAGACTCTGCAAACCTTTACTTCTCTCCTTTGGTGTTCCTACCTAATGAGTTTGTTTCAACTATTTTTTTCTTAATGATAGTCAAGAGGCTCTGAAAAATTCTTATTTCTTATATATAAGAACGTTCTCTCCATTCTCTCCATCCAGGCTTATTTATGCCATGAGCAATTCTCACCAGACATTTATGACCTTTAATATTAAAAAATATTCCTTTTGTGTGTTTTGAACACCTTGGAAGCAGATTCTGGGATGCCCAAGATTCCTATTGGAGATGAGTTCAGTCCCTAGGATATCAGTGAAGAAGGGGAACATGTACAGTTTGGGTTCTGTCTGGATGTTCCATCAGCTCTATTCAGAACAAGATTAATAAAATAGATAATAATTGTCCAGAATAACTCAGAAAGTTCTGAGAAAGAGAATAATTAGAAGGGATTTGCTCTCTAGGATCCTAAAGAAAGACTATGTAAATACACTATTGGAGATTATATAGATCATGAGAGTTATCTGTAGCTTGAACTTTGCATAAAACTGATATTTCTTCATGGTGAGATTCAGGTTATAATTTACTTTTTTTCTTTGGCCAACAGTATCACAGCAGTGATGTCTTTGTGCATTGGCATCTAATAGTAATTTGTCCTATGACAGTTGATGTTAATTGTCTTCCCTTGGTTAAGGTTCTCTCTGACAGATTTTTTTTCACTGTAGATTTAATTACTTTTCTCTTTATTTTAATAGGTACCTCATGAAGATTTAACAGTTGACGTGCATAAACCATCACATTTAATGTGGAAGTTCCCTTTTCTTCTTAGATTCGCTTTGCATATAGCTTTGGAAAATGAAGTCTCTCATCTTTGTTTCCTGGTCAGATGAACTGGGCTAAAGCTAGGGTCTGCCACTTACTGGATGTTTGAAAAACATTCCCCTTGGGCCAGAAGCATTGACATGACTGGTGAGCTTGTTAGATATTCAGAAATTCAGACTTCACCCCAGATCTCCTGAATCAAAATATGCATTTTAACAAGATCTCCAGTTCATTGTTGTATATATACATACATTAAAGTTTGAAAGATACCTTTTAGCTCAGCATGATTTTTCATGCTGGCCACTTTGTAAATTTGTGCTTTTCTTTCAGGAACTGTTGACATTCAGGGATGTGACCATAGAATTTTCTGCAGAAGAGTGGGAATGCCTTAACCCTGCTCAGTGGAATTTGTATAGGGATGTGATGTTAGAGAACTACAGAAACCTGGTCTCTCTGGGTGAGGATAACTTTAATACACAATTTCTATTCCACACTAAGGTTTTCACATCCTTCCTTTGTAGAATGTTTTCTGGGAGTTTGTGCTTTATATGAATGAGTTTCAGATCCTTACTTCCAGGGAAAACTGGGGAATTTGTTGGAATAAAAAAATCTTCAAGATTTATCTTGATATTAATCTTACCTTTTTTTTTCAACTAATCTATATCCTTCACTATAGATGAGTGGTAATCCCAGAAATTTAGTGGCATAAAGTATTGTTGTTCACAATTTAAAACCCAATTTCCACTATCAATTTTTTTTTTTTTTTTTTTTTGAGACAGAGTCTCACTGTGTTGCCCGGGCTAGAGTGCCATGGGCGTCAGCCTAGCTCACAGCAACCTCAAACTCCTGGGCTCAAGTGATTCTCCTGCCTCAGCCTCCCGAGTAGCTGGGACTACAGGCACACGCCACCATGCCCGGCTAATTTTTTCTTTCTATTTTTAGTAGAGACGGGGTCTCGCTCTTGCTCAGGCTGGTTTCAAACTCCTGAGCTCAAACAATCTGCCCGCCTCGGCCTCCCAGAGAGCGAGGATTACAGGCGTGAGCCACCGCGCCCGGCCTCCACTATCAATTTTTGATTCACTGGTACTGGGTAATAGAGCTAAGGATGTACAAATTTTAAGTACTTCCTAAATATTCTAAAGTTTATCAGGAAATGGTACTTTGAAATTAATTATTTAAAATCTTCTATAATGTTCTTTTTTTTTCCTACTGAGCACAGTACTGAGTTGGTAATTGCAGAATTTCAGCAAGAGTCATGTTACGTTCTTTTTATTAAAACAGGTCTTACAGCCTCTAAGCCAGACTTGATCACCTGTCTGGAACAAAGGAAAGAGCCCTGGAATGTGAAGAGACATGACAAAGGAGCAGAACACCCAGGTAGGTGGGAGTGAATGAAGCAGATGACACAGGTGAGAGATCAAAAGGTCAAGGAGGAAGCCACACTTTAAAATGTGATTTGGGAAACTCTGCTCCAATACAAGTGGTTTCTGAGAAGCCTGGGTTTTCTTCTATTGGTCTCACATAGGGGCATCTCTGTCCCCCCCTTTTTTTGTTGTTTTCTTTTTGTTTGTTTGTTTTTTTAAGACAGAGTCTTGTTCTGTTGCCTGGGCTAGAGTGCCATGGCATCAGCCTGGGAGCCAACCTCAAACTCCTGGGCTCAGCCTCCCGAGTAGCTGGGACTACAGGTACTTGCCACCATGCCCAGCTAATTTTTTCTATTTTTTAGTAGAGATGGGGTCTCACTGTTGCTCAGGCTGGTCTTGAATGCCTGAGGTCAAACTATTCTCTCGCCTCCCAGAGTGCTAGGATTACAGACATGAACCACCATGCCTGGCCTCTATCCCTTGTTTTTAAGTTATCTAAGGACTTTACTTCCCCTTCAGTGATCTTCCTTTGAGGTTATAGTGAAAAGCATGGTTTATAAGGGTCTGCAGGATCTGACTGCTCTTCCATTGCTTTTCATGACATGGGAATGTTTATGCATTTTTGAGGAATTCTATGTTAAACCATTTTTTAATTTCCCTTTTTGCATCATATCTGAAATGTGAGTGTAGTGGTGATATTGGTATTTATTTGGTTCAGAATTCCCAGGAACACCACAAGCAAATGTGTGTTTTCTGCTCTATGGCTTTTTATCCTATGGAAGTATTAAATATGACTCTGCAGAAATTCATACTTAGTAATATTATCAGAACATTAAGTATCTACATAAATATAAAATCTAATGTTATTTTACTTCAAAAGTGTTTTTAGTGTGTGAACTCTGATTAATAATTTAAACTCTACATGTCCAAATTCCTCATTTAATATAGTTGCATGTATCTATTCCCTACATATCTTAATAGTATGTCATTGGGCAGCTTGGAACACTGCTGAGCATATATTAAACTCCCAATTGTTACTTTATTAATATTTTTTAATAACATTTTATAATTTTCTCTTCTTTAGTATGAAGCTTACTGGAGCTGCATCATTCATATATATGTATGTGTGTGTACATATATATCCACACATACATAAATGTGTGTGGTATATGTTTGTGTGTGTGACATGGATTTTCTTCACAAATAAGTTGTATAACTATATAATTATTATATATAATGTAATGATTTGATACGTGTATACATTGTGAAATGATTAATACAATCAAATTAATGAACATATTTATTACTTCACAGTTACTTTTTTTGGTAGTAACAACACTTAAGGTCTACTCTCAGCAAATTTTCAGATACAAAACATTATTATTAGCTATAGTAACAATGTTATACATTAGATCCACACAACTTATTCATCTTATAACTGAAAGTTTATACCCTTTGAGTAACTTCTCCCAATTTTTCCCCACCTCAGGCCCTGGCAACCACTTTTGCACTTTCTTTTTCAATGATTACAACCTTTTTAGTTTCCCCCATAAGTGAGATCATGCAGTATTTGTCTTTATGTGCCTGCCTTATTTTAGTTAGCATAATGTCCTCCAGGTCCCTTTATGTTGTTGAAATGCTTGAATAAATGCTTGAATAATATTTTTTATAACTGAATAACATTCTGTTGTCTATATATACCATTTTTTTTTTGTTTATTTAGCATTCACACACATTTAGGTTGTTTTCATTTCTTGCCAGTTATGAATAATGCTACAATGAACAAGGTAGTGCATATATTTATTTGAGATACTAATTTTATTTCCTTTGGTTATATATACAGAAGTGAGATTGCTGAATTGTATGGTAGTTCTATTTATTTTAACTTTTAGAGATCCCCCATACTTGTTTTCATAATGAATCTACCAATTTATAACTCACCAATAGGGTATAGGATTTCTTTTTCTTCATATCCTTGTCAAAACTTGTTACCTTTTCTTTTTGATATTAGCTATCCTAACAGGTATGAATGAAGTCATATCATGATTTTGATTTGTAATTCCCTAATAATTGGTGATGTTGAGCACATTTTCATGAACCTGTTGGCCACTTGTTTGTCTTCATTGGGAAAAAATCTATCTAGTCTTATGCCTATTTTTCAATTGGTTATTACATTCATTATTATTATTGTTTTTGTCTTTGATTTATATGTTTCTTATATAATTTGTATATTAACCTCTTATCAGACATATGGTTTACAATGTTTTCCCCCATCCTATAGTTATTCTTATTTCACTGTTTTCTTTGCTTTTTAATTTGATGTAGTCCAACTTGTTTATATTTGCTTTTGTTTTCATACTTTTTGTGTTGTACTTAAAAAATCCAACAGGTTTTACTGCCGTCGGCCCAGATGAGGTCAAGCCTCCAAAATCTGAGCGCTTCTTCCGGGTTTTTGTCAGGTTTTATACTTTTTTTGGGGGGTTACTCTTAACAAATCACACATAAGTACAAATGATTAACCAATTAGCAAAAAGATTTAAAAGTTATCCAATAAACAATAATTCTTACAAGCAGTATAATTATGATAGGCTTATAACAAAAGTATAGTTATGCTAGGTTTATAACAAACAGTATAGTTGTGACAGGCTTGTAGCTTCACTTAACTGTTTTGTGGTTTTAGCTTGCAAGGCTGACAGGTGTCAGCGTCTACTTTAGCTGCTTTGTGGTTTTAAGCAGAACTGGTATGGAAATTCCCCAACAATATAAACATATAAAATATATACAAATACAGTGCATGGTCAGTCACTTAGTACAGCTCTCTACAAAAAAGTAACTTTTTAGAAATAAAACAAAAAACCTCAAAGTAACCACTTAATCACAAAAGTCCTCTTCTCTCCCAGTATCCAGGTTCCTGTTTAGTGTCCGGAGGGAAGAGAGATGGGTTGGGGAATTTAAGTGAAGGGATGGCCTGAACCTCTCAGTTCTGCCATGGCCTCCACAGGGGAGTCCGCCGTGAGCGAGGGCCGCAGGAAGGCGACACTGTGTTGGGGCCCACGGAGGTCCCACTGTTGCTTGTGTACACGGGGTTGACCAGGCCACACTGCACGAAGGCCCTGTTGGGGATGAGGAAGGCAAACTGGCCCACAGGAGCTGGTACCACCTGGAAGCCGCTGAATACCTTAGCCGCCTCGCCAGCCTGGCTGACCAGCTTGCAGGGTGTGCCGCCCGGGATGGGCACGAGCCTAGCGGTGGCTGAGGCACGAATTGTGCATGCTGGGGGCCGCCAGCTCAGAGGGGGTGGAGTGGGGGGCAGGAGGGCGCGGTGCCTGCTAGGCGGGGTGTGGCTGCCCGGGGTAGGTCATGGCGTTGATCTGGTCATGCAGTTGGCCAAGCGGTGGAGCAGCCGGTGCGCACCTCGGTGTTAACGCCCTCACACGTGGACAGGAAGCGGGTCACCTCATTCATGCCCTCGCTGAAGCCGGTGGGGGACTTCCGCAGCACGCTCGGGTCTGTGCTCAGTGCGGCCGTCATCTGAGGCGCTGCAGGTTCTGGAGGTGCTTCACTGCCTTCTCCAGCTTGGAATGCCGCGAGCTATCTTTCTTAAGAGCCTCCAAAATCAGTGTTTTCAGCTAGCTCAGACTTTCATTTATTCTTGCTCTTCGTCTTTTCTCCATGATAGGCTTTGATGACTTTTTGTGCTCAGATGCTGTCTTTGGTTTATCCGGTGTCGTGTTGACCCTGGCTGGGGTAGCAGCCACTGGGGATGAGGAATTTTTCTCCATTGTATTACATGGAATTTTCTTTCTTTCTTTCTTTCTAATGCCTAGAGAATTTTATTTTTGGAGTCCTTCCCAAAAAAGAATGTTTTATTTATGTCTCCTTAACTTGAGACTTTACAAAACTACTGAGCAAGTGCTGAGGGTTTATTATAATATTTTATGGCTACTTGGTGATCAGTAGCGCTATTCGAGGACCAAGGAGAGAGTTAGATGAGGAATTCCGCTATTATCAGCACCAGCTGTGGATCCTGTGTTTTCATATGTTTTCTTTTAAGATTTTTAAGGATTCATGTCTTACACAAATCTTTATTTTGAGTTAATTCAAGTGTAAGAAAAATGGTTTAATTTTATTCTTTTGCTCATGGATATCCAGTTTTTCTAGCACCAATTATTGAAGAGACTATACTTTCTGTATTGTGTATTCTTGTCTCTGTCAAAGATTAGTTGACCTTGTTAAGCATGGGTTGATTTCTGGGCTCTCTGTTCTGTTTCATTTGTTGTTATGTCATTTTTAATATATATGCCATTCTGTTTTTATTACTATAGTTTTGGAATATAGTTTGAAATATTATGCTTACAGCATTGCTTTTCCTCGAGATTACTTTGGCTCTTCAAAGTCTATTGTACTTCCATAAAAATTTTCAGATTGTGGGTTATTTTTTCAATTTTTGTGAAAAATGCCATTGGAATTTTGATACGGAGTTCATTGAATCTATAAATCACTTTGGGTTTTCTGACTCTTTAACAGTATTTATTCTTCCAATCCATAAACATGGGATATTTTTACATTTATTTGTATCTTCAGTTTCTCTCATCAATATCTTATATTTTTCAATGTAAAGATTTTTTACCTTAGTTAAATTTATTGCTAAAAAATTAATATTTTGATATTGTACAAGAGATTGTTTTCTTTCTCTTTTATTAGTTTGTTGTTACTATATAGATTCATTAACATTTGTATGATAATTTAATATTCTGCTTATTTACTGATTGTATATTTTAGTTTAAACAGTTTTTTGGTGTACTATCTATGATTTTCTTTATAAAAAATCATGTCATATACTACAAGTGACAATTTTACTTCTTTCTTTTCCATTTGGACAATGTTTTTTCATTTTCTTGCCTAATAGTTCTACCTGTGATTTTTAATACTATGTTAAAATAGAAGCATTGAAAATGGGCATAATATAATCTTGCATTGGTGTCTGTGCATT